GCCGCCCCCGCCGCCCAGGCCGCCTGCTCCTAGAGGGGTTGTCCGCTCGCCATGTTCCATCTAGCCAAGGAGTGCGAAGGGGGAGAAGCACCGAGGCGAAGTTGTGAACTCAGGGAACCGCTTGTGTGCAGGCGAGGGTGGGCTCTCGGGAGGTCTTGGGCTCGGAGAGGGAGAGATCAGGGTGTATACGCGCTTTACTCCTCGCTCTCTGCTTTCTTTCCCGCGCCCGAAATTAGCAAGGCGGCAGGGGCTCCGGGCGTGTTTACCTCCGGGGTGTGTGTACCTCCGGGGTGTGTGTGTGTAGGTGTGTGCGCGCGCGCAGGGATTTTCCCGGAGGGAATCTGTCTCCGTCCCCCACTCCGGGACCGAGAATCTGCGGTTGAGAATCTGTGTGGAACCCCGAGCAGGTCCTGAAGCGTCGAGCTCCTAGTGGGGGCAGCGCGAGTCCTGCTCCGCAGGCTGGCGGGCTTTTCGGGACGCCCCTGGGCACCGCGGAGAGACGAAAGGTCCTTTCACTCTGCTTGCCAATGGGGCTGTGCTTCCGCCCCGACTTCTTTCGTGTAGATTTCTTTTATGTTAAGGACCGGTTCATCCAAGGATGCTGCCCACCGATGAACTAGGGCGCACGAGCGCGCCCTCCTGCGCCCCGGGTCACCATGGCAGGGTTTCTGTCCCGGCCAAACCTCCAAAGGCAGGCTGACTAGCGTGTGTTCTGGGCTTCCCGCAAGTTTCTGAGAAAGGACTAGAAGAGCATAGTTCCTCCCAAAGCTACTTAGGTTGTTTCTTCACTAATATCCTACAGTTATCCTTTGTGCCTAATATTGTCAGGTGTGGACAGCTTCACTTCTGCGAGGTGCCTTGCGGAGTTTGCTGACCAAGGTGTGTCTGTAGAAGGTTTTGGGGGTTCACTGCCCCCTTACAGTCCCCACCCCACCACAGGCAGAGAAGGAGCGGGTTCTCAGCCCCTGCACAAACACAAGCCCTGGCAAAAGTGCTCCAAGTCCCTAAACCAGCGGTTCTCAACCTGTGGGTCGCGACCCCTTTGGGGGTCGAACAACCCTTTCACAGGGGTCGCCTAAGACCATCGGAAAACACATATATAATTACATATTGTTTTTGTGGTTAATCACTATGCTTTAATTATGTTCAATTTGTAACAATGAAATTGGGGGTCACCACAACATGAGGAACTGTATTAAAGGGTCCCGGCATTAGGAAGGTTGAGAACCACTGCGCCTAAACTGATTGCAAGATCTTTTTTTTTTTTCATGTAATTTTATTTTATTTTTTTTCTTTCTTTTTTTTTCTTTATTGCTTAAAGTATTACAAAGGGTATTACATATGTGTCCCCCCCCCCGGCCCTTGACAATCCCCTGATTGCAAGATCGTAAGCTCTGTGCCAGTGAGGGGTGTGTGCGCGCCTGACCCCGTTCCCCAGCGCTCTGTGCTCTAACAGTTGTGGCCCGTAGGTGGCCTGTCAGTTAGGACTGGAGCGCAGGATGGGTAGGCGAGGCCCTGACAGCCTTTCTCAGATGCTCTCACTTTTTGCATCTCTTATCCAGAGACAGCTTTGATTTCCACGTCAGGAACTCGATTTCCTAAAATGCCTAGAACTTGCCTTCAAAGCTACAGTTAGCCAGGGCTCCTCCTCTGGGTTGGAAGTGTGGGAAACCATGGGGTAGAAAAAGGGGACTCCTCCAGGGCGGCCCAGGGAGGCAGTGCCCAAGCAGGAGGGGGTGGTCTCTCTCTCCTTTTGTCTTGCCCAGGGCCTGTGGCTGTGGCCTGGGAGACTTTGGGATGCAGCTTTTTCTTTTAGGATGTGTGTGGATTATACCCAACCCCATTGCAGCAAATCTGGCCGCTGCCTGTTAGTTAAGCTGTTGATGCTGGGAACTGGGCATAGATGGGGCAGGGTCCCCTCACACACCTACACAACAGTTCTCTTTTCCGGGACAGGGGCCTGTGGCCTAAGAACTTAATGTGGGGGTGAGGTTCTTGGGCCTCAGGGAGGAAGGGTGATCCCAGCCTGTGGGTGTTTAAACCTGTGGGTCTGGGGAGAGGAGACCCAAGATAGGCTCTCAAATAGGGTCCCTCCATCCCACCCACTGGAAGGTTGGGGTTGCCCCCACACACACACACATACATACACATGCCCTACTCCTTCACCCTGAGCCACCACACTTGAAGCACTTGGGGGGCACAGGCTTAGGGATCCCCAACCTTGGTGCCTCTGGGGCTCTGGACTCCAGAATGTTCTTCGGCTTCTTTGGGGATGGGTGAGGTGCATGCACGTTCCCTTGCCAAGTAATGTAATAATTTCTCCTCTCCACGCGGTCCTCTTCCTTACACTGTGCTCGCCTCCCACGCTGCTGGCTCCTTGGAGGATCTGGTTGATGAGGTGGCCCTCCTCCTGCTTCCAGGCGCAGAGGTGGCTGGGTGTTGGGGCTCCGGATCAGGCCCCACAGGTCTGGGACTTTGCCTAACTGGGAGGGGGTGGTGGTCATGGGTTTGAGGGGGTGGCCTGGGACAAGAAGCTCGGGAAGAATTAGGCGGAGGTAGCTGGGAATCACCCAGGAGCAGCCTGGGGTGGAGAAGCAGAGCCCCAGCCCCCTAAATCCCAGCCCCATCCCGCCTCCCAGTAGTGTCTCCCAAGGAGCTCAGAACCCCCTTCCTGGCTCCGGGTGGCAGGAGCGCTCTGTGTGCGGGAGAGGGCACCGTGGGGTCACGTCCAGTAAGAGCCCAAGGCCCTTTTGCCCGTTTGAAAGGGTTCAGGGTTTTTTTCTTTCTCGGGCCCTTGGACTACGATTTAGGGTCGCAGGTCCCTCTGGGTCCAGGCACATCCTGCCTCTATCCAGCGGTCCCCTCTGCCTCCCTCGGAGGGTGGGAGCGTCAAGGTCGGAGTCCTCACCGCGCCGCCTGCCCCGCAGCATTGGTTGCCGTGAGCGCTCCCGCGCCTCCTCGCACCTCTCACCTCCCGAATAAAACAGTCCGCCCCCAGCACCTGCGTCCTCCGGGCCCCTATTGCTGGCACAGGTGTGGAGGTGGGCGTCCTGTCGACCCCTTGCCCACGTTGTCTCCGGGGCACCAGGCGAAAGGACATCGGGCACCTGCTGCCCCGCATTGCCGGCCGGGAGCGGGGCAGCCGGAGGAAGGAGCGCCCGCTGGTCCAGGCCGGGGCGGTAAATGGGGAGCAGGCCCGGGCTGTCTCCCGTCCTTCCTCGTCTCCTAAAATCTCTCCTTGCAGCTCTAATGAACCCGAAGCTGCGGGGAAAGGGCATCTGATTTTGTGTTCGGGAGGATCTGGGCGAAGGACTTCTCTGGGTGCCCCACTCCCCTTCTTCTCCTGCCGGGCTCCTGCAGGCGGTAAACCCCAGCACCTCGCAGGCCCTTTGGGAAGGGCTGGAACGGGCACCGTTACCGCCGGGCGCGCTCTAGCACTCCGAGCCCCGATGCGCTCCTTTACCCGTCCCCGCCTTTCTCGTGGTGCGGGACGGAGGGGGGAGACAAGAACACCATTAGATGTTCCATCAGATTCCGGTACAGATACTCAGATAGCTGCCTCTGACACCGCCAACCCCCTTCCCCGCCACCAACATTTCCAGGTGCGAGCCCACGAGGCGTCCCCGCCGGCAGGTTCGGGCCTCGCGGGTTACCGGTTCGGGTTCTCTCACCGCGCGGGTCCCGCACCAGCCTCGGGCCGGAGCTGCGCACCACCCGGAGGGGATCTGGAGAAACGAGGTGACGCGGCTTGAGGCGGAGGATGGCGGGGGGCGTCCGAGGGGTAGAGGCTCCGGCCTCCTCCGGTCCTCTGCCTCCATCAGAGAGGGCGCGAGGGCGCAGGGAGCCCTCCTGGGAGGCCGCCGTCCCAGCGCTCCCCGGAGCCTCGTTAGCGATTCAACCTGGGCCCGGGGCCCGCAGGTGGGGCGGGTGAGCGGCGAAGGTCCGCCCTGAGCGGCCCCGGGGAAGGCGAGGTCGGGGCCGAGCGGAGAAAAGCCGCCAGGTGTTCCCTCGCTGGGCGCAGGCTCGCGGGCAGCCAGAGCCCGGCGGGGCTGAGCGGAGCGGCGTCCTCGCGTCTGGGAGCGCGACCTGAGCGGCCTCGCCGCGACCGGGGCCGAAGGCCTCCGCCCCGAGGGGAGGTGCCGCCGGGGTGGCCCGGGGACCGACGCTGGATTCCCGCTCCAGGCATCTGCTGCGCGGCGCGCGGCGCCCGGCGCCCGGTCCTGAGCGCTGTCACCTCCTGCGCCCAGAGCTTTGGCAGGTCCGCCAGGAAAGGTGGGTGCAGACGGGGTGCTCCTCGGGAGGAGCCTGTTTTGCGGGCGCCGTGTCCCGCAGCTCGGGGTAGATGAGAGGTCGCGGCTGCGGATGGGGCGAGAGGCTGTACCCACCGAGGCCGCATTCGGCATCCCCGCGCCCCGGCCCTTTCTCTCCAGCCGAGGTACCTCGCCCATTCGTTTTCCTGTCTTACTCTCGGGCTGGCCCCGAGCGGGTGGGGATTGACCCCGCCTGGGACGCGTGTCCAGCCGCTTTGGGCGGCAG